TATATTCATATGCATATAATAAAAAACGGTTATTTTAATACTACAAACAGACACTCTAACTTTATTTATATGTATAGATATGCTGATAGCCTTGAGAGGCTATATTAACTTTACCATAGCGTGTAAGTGAGCTCTGAGCTCAAACCGGAGTGTTGCTATCACTGGCCCTAGCGAGAGAGGAGCTTCGCAGAATCTACCACCGGATCGGCAACGCGACCCACTGAGAAGATCCGGCGAGAAACTCAGCGGGCTGTGTCTGTGGGTTAATACACTCGTCGAGCCTTTCGTCGCTTGCGACGGGTTCGACGAGGACGGCGACCGGTGCTTGTGGTACCTAAAAGCACCGTAAATGGATCGGGAGGATCGGTAATCGGTGCTCCCGTGTGGTCGGCCGCACTTACCGCGCGAAACGCGGCTCTGCTGCTCAGAGCTCAGCGGGCGCTCGCAGTGAGGGTCATCAGGGGGTACCGCACCATCTCTCAGGATGTGACCTGTGCCCTCGCCGGATCCTTACCGTGGGACCTCGAGGCCGAAATCTTGGCCGCGACATACCGACGGAGAACACAGTCCTCGACTCGGGAACGGACACCCGGCCCGTCGGCTGTCGATCAGTGGAGGCGAAACCTCGTCGCGGTGTTGGGGCAGGACCTCTCTTTGCGGGCTCTCGTCGCCCGTATGGTAGAGGACCAGAGCTCGTGGGAGGCCATGGCGGGGTTCTGTGATTTGGTCATGGCGCTTCGTGAGGCTGAGGAGCGCGAAAGGGAATGGGATCACTCTTCGGCTCCTCAGCGCAGAAGGCGGGGTGGACGGCGCATGCGAAAGGTCGCCACTCAGCCCTCGTAGGGACTATCAAGTGCCGGGTGCGGGGGCGCCCGGCTGTTGGTCCGGTGGTGAAGCGGTGCAACGTGGCTCCTGTGCGCCGCTCACGGTGTGTCTCCCGAGACGAGGTTCTTTGGGATTTTCCCAGGGATGAGACCTCGTCTTAACATTAGTACGGGTACCAGCTAAGGCGAGGCCTTCGGCGTGCACCGCGGTACCGTAAGTTTCGTGTAGTCAGTGTGGTGGAGCTCGATGGGGTTTAGTCGGTAGTCGTTCTGCGGGGCAAGTGCTTCGCGCGCCTTTTTCAAAGGCGTAGTCTCCTGTGAGAAATTGGGGGAGGTGAAGGACCTCGGCCCTTCTCTTCTCCCCTTCTTCCTCTCAGGAGGCGCCGAAGTCCGACATAACCCGGTCCGTTACCCCTCTCGACCGGGTATCTGTTGAACATTTGTGCGACAATAGTCACTCGTATTTATAGTAGGAATTGGGGGTGGCTTAATCATGAATTCTCTTGAATACCGTCTTAAGCAGTTGTTGACATACGTAACAATAAGGAAACAGTTAACTTTAACTAATCTTAATTAACCAATTAATGACGTTGCGCCGATTATTTTCTCTATATATATATAAAAATGAATTGCTGTTCGTTAGTCTCGCTAAAATTCGAGAACGGCTGGACCGATTTGGCTAATTTTGGTCTTGAATTATTCGTGGAAGATCAGGGAAGGTTTAAAATGTGAGAAAATATAAAAAAGCTCGGAATTATATAAAAACAAACAATTATGTTTTTCCTTTGATGTGTCTTTTATTTATCAATTGAGGCACTACGAAGTCTGCCGTGTCAGCTAGTACTAATATACAAATCTACAGTGGTTTTTACGGATGTTCCGTTATAACTACTGAACCACGCATCCGATTCACTTGAAACTTGGTATCCATGTATAAAATACATGTACTAAATGGATAGCCTAATATTTATATGAGTGTTGGACTCTCAACACCAGTTGCGGGGGCGTTAATGATGAGAATCTTTGTGGGGATGAGAAATAATAATGTTAATTTTAAATGCCCAGCGAAGCGGACGGGTATAGCTAGTATATCCATATAAGCACAACACCAGACATTCAACACGAAATATCCGAAACTATAATTTCGGTGCAATTTAAAATATTTCATGTTGGCGCTTATTTTTTTTTTTCTTTTTATGATTGAAGGATTACTGGTGGCCCGGAGGCCTTTCCAGTTTCACCAGGACAGGTGGGCGAGCAAAGGCTCAGCCAGGAGGGGTGGGATTTGCTAACAGCTGCCCGAGCGCCTCCGAAGGAGACCTAACAACTCAAGAGTAGCTGCTTCGCGAATGAATCTACTACCGGATCGGAATCGCGACCCGCTGAGAAGATCCNAAGTCAGAAACCTGATCACGTTGATTTGCGAGACCGTAAGCGTTAAAAAATCCTATCGTTACGGATAGGGGCTTTATTCTACTTATATACGCCATTGATTACCGGCGGAGTGAGGGGAGGACGTACGTATTTAATGACGCGTATACGTCGGCGTATTCTTGCACAACGGCGATAAAGTGTTGTGCAGTGGAGGCAGCGCGAATGGCGTCGCCCAAAGCGTTAACGCGCTCAAAGTTGATCGACTGAAAGAAGTCGATCGCTAAAGCGAGATTGTCGGACGCGGTCGGAGGGCAAGTCGCGGGAGAGGGACGAGTTGCGGGGGCGGGACGAATCGCGGAGGAGGGAGTTGTAACCGTGGCGCTTATTATGAAGGATCGCTGTGTATATACTATCCAGAAATGTCAACCTACCGTCGACTACATCATAGCAACGCACGCGCATAGCAACGGTTGCCATGGTAACCGTTGCCATGCGACTGGCAGTTGGACCAGAGGGCGACTTGAGCCACTTTATCCCGAGGAAATATCTTTTAATATTTCTCAATAACAAACATAGCGCCGATCCAATGACGGACTGTACCCAGGGTGCTTATTGCGAGTTTTATATAATTATCGATAGCGTAAAAGTTAACAATGTATTGTCTTTAGTACACCGCAACGTGCCTGGTATATTTTTATATTTTCCCGAATTTCTGTAAATTAAACGGTTGCCTGGAAGAGATCGCTTTTAGCGATAAGACTGCCTATTGTATAAATCTATCTGCTTTTTGACTGGTTTTAGAATGTAAACTGTGTCTTGGTGTGCAATAAGGTGTTCTCGCTCTCTCTCGCTCTTTCTCGCTCTCTCGCTCTCTCTCACTCTCTCTCACTCTCTCTCACTCTCTCTCACTCTCTCTCACTCTCTCTCACTCTCTCTCACTCTCTCTCGCTCTCTCTCACTCTCTCTCTCTCTCTCTCTCTCTCTCTCTCTCTCTCTCTCTCTCTCTCTCTCTCTCTCTCTCTCTCTCTCTCTCTCTCTCTCTCTCTCTCTCTCTCGCTCTCTCTCTCTCTCTCTCTCTCACTCTCTCTCGCTCTCTCTGGCTCTCTCTCGAATTTGAATGGAGTTGGAATAGCCCTAGCGGCAAACAGTAAGCAGTCGTGAAGCAGTAACGCATTTCGGTTTGAAGGGTGGGGCAGCCGTTGTAACTATACTGAGGTCTGAGACCTTAGAACTTATATCTCAAGGTGGGTGAGGCATTTACGTTGTAGATGTCTATGGGCTCCGGTAACCACTTAACACCAGGTGGACTGTGAGCTCGTCCACCCATCTAAGCAATAAAAAAAAGATACATAAGTTTCTAATTCAGAATTTTGTCAATTTCTTGTTCTCCAATAGCTATACTATAACTACAGCTGTAACTACATCACTCAATTAAAATTAATATTATTTAAAATTTATTTATTTTAATGTATCAATAATAATTTACTCACTTAATAATTTATTACTGTATTCATTATTTTGTTAGCCTGCGTCAATGATTCATGTTATTGAATATGTTGTTACATATATACATATAAATAAAATTGGAGTGTCTGTTTGTAGTATTGAAATAACCGCTTTTTCCTACATGCATATGAATATAACTATATACACGGTACATACACAAAAATAACATTTTTTCACAATCTTTGTCTGTCTGTCTGTTTATTCCGGCTAATCTATGTAACGGCTGGACCGATTTTGACGGGACTTTCACTGATAGGTAGCTGATGATATAAGGAGTAACTTAGGCTACTTTTTTTTGACTAGCTTCGACCCGCGGCATCACCCGCGGTACGACAATAACCGCGGGTAACATCGCGGGACTCAGCTATCAATAATAAAAATTTATGTTTCCGAAGCGAAGCGAGGGCGAGTAGCTACTTATATAATATAGTGAAGTCTGTAGTCAGTGAAGAATGTAATGTACATGTTTTATTGCTGAGGTAGACGAGCTCACAGCCCATCTGATGTTAAGTGGAGCCCATAGACATCTACAAGTTAATGCCGCTACCTACCTTTCGATACGAGTTCTAAGGTATAGTTTTACAACGGCTGCCCCGCCCTTCAAACCGAAACGCATTACTGCTTCACGGCAGAAATAGACAGGGCGGTGGTACCTACCCGTAATTACGCAGATTATGATTTTGCGGGTTTGATTTTTACTACATAATGCTATTCCTTCAATTCAGTGGAAGTCAATCGTGAACATTAGTACGTATTTCGTTGGAAAAATATATACCTCTCTGCGGGATTCGAACACCGGTGCATCGCTACATACGAATGCACCGGACGTCTTATCCTTTAGGCCGCGATGGCTTCATTAAATAGGCGATATTTAACTTTGTAATTGAATGCGCATTTTTTTTATTATTATTTTTTATTTATTTTTTATTCCTTAGATGGGTGGACGAGCTCACAGCCCACCTGGTATTAAGTGGTTACTGGAGCCCATAGACATCTACAACGTAAATGCGCCACCCACTTTGAGATATAAGTTCTAAGGTCTCAGCATGGTTACAGCGGCTCCCCCATCCTTCAAACCGAAACGCATTACTGCTTCACGGCAGAAATAGGCGGGGTGGTGGTACCTACCCGTGGAGCGAGTAGTGAGACCACTCACGTTGCGACATCATATTTAATATCTGATGGAAAACAAGTGCAACCGCGGGCGCCGCTAGTGCTTCCGACATTATTAATACAAACAAAACTGGAATTTAAATTTTGAATTTTTAAATTGTATTCATTAAGCCAACAGCAAGCCAATCAATAACACGTAACCATTTGAGTTTTGTAAAGGATCACAGAAGGAAGATTTCAAAAAGAAAACCACTTGTTTCGTGTTGTGGAATGGTGAGTTCGATGCGTGGATATAGTTTGAAGGGCATTAGCTTTATTGACACGTTTTTATTAGCTTGGTCATTTGTGTGTAATAGAGTATTTGAATGTCTTTTACTGGTGGTAGAACGTCTTGTGAGTCCGCACGGGTAGGTACCACCGCCCTGCCTATTTCTGCCGTGGAGCAGTAATGCGTTTCGGTTTGAAGGGTAGGGCAGTCGTTGTAACTATACTTGAGACCTTAGAACTTATATCTCAAGGTGGATGGCGCATTTACGGTGTAGATCTCTATGGGCTCCAGTAACCACTTATAACCAGGTGGGCTGTGAGCTCGTCCACCCATCTAAGCAATAAAAAATTCAATAATCACTTAAGATCCGGTGGACTGTACGCGAGGTCACGATTTCAGGTGCCCTCGAACCAGGATTGTGATGAAGTTTTCTCTGAAGAGGAGACACGATTGGAGAAGCTGGTCGCTCCTCAAGCAGAGCCCAGGGAGTACAAAGTGGTGTACAGGAATATAATAGTGTTCATTTACTATCACATAGCAGGAATATACGGCCTATACCTTGGACTGACCGCAGCTAAATGGGCCACAGTAATTTCAGGTATTAATTTAGGTCCTAGAACTTCAGATGCTACGTTTAGGAATGCGACGGCGGTCACATACCACCAGACTGGGGGATGTTGAGGGTAGGATACTCCTTTACTTGATAAAGCAGTAGAAATGATCTTTTTCCTACCTAAGCTGATAGCCTTGAGAGCCAATTTTAGCGTAACCTTGTAGGTGAGCTCACGAGGCTCAAACCGGGAATGTTGCTAACATTGACCCTAGCAAGAGTAGTGCTTCGCAGAATCTACCACCGGATCGGAAACGCGACCCACTGAGAAAATCCGAGAAACTCAGTGGGCTGTGTCTGTGGGTTAATTTACTCGTCGAGCCCTTCGTCGCAAGCGACGGGTTCGACGAGAACGATGATCGGTGCTTGAGGTACCTAAAAGCACCGTTAGTGGATCGGGAGGATCCGAAATTACGTGTTTAGGGCGACGTCGACTGCTTTCCATTCTGTCCGCAGGATCGGGAATGGTAGAAATGATCAACGCCACTAAGGACTTATTTTCCAACGTATCCTAGTTACGTCTGCATTTCTTGATAACTGAATAGATAACGGTACTGGCTGAAGATTCTGCTGTATGTAAGGTTATGATCTTCCAGAAGCGATTAATAGATCCAATGGACGCCTTCAGTATTACCTGGTGGCTTGGTCTATCGAAGAATATGACCGCTTACTGGTGATAGGACGTCTTGTAATCCCGCACGGGTAGGTACCACCGCCCTGCCTATTTCTACAACGAAGTAGTATTGTGTTTTGCATGTGATGACCAATGTACTATAAGATTGAGACTTAGAACTCATTTACGATGTCGATGTCCATGTGCATGTGTCCAGCCAATTAGTACCCAAACCGTGGGCTTGCTGATCAGAAACTGCTCATGTCCTTTTACAGCATTAATTACTTACTGCGTTGGTGCTATTGGCGTGACAGCAGGAAGCCACCGACTCTGGTCCCACAAGTCGTACAAAGCCACGAAACCACTGCAGCTATTCCTGATGCTGTGTCAGTCGGTGTCCAACCAAAATTCGGTGGCACATTGGGCCAGGGACCATAGATTGCACCACAAATACAGCGATACCGACGCTGACCCGCACAACGCGACCCGTGGGTTCTTTTACTCGCACGTGGGGTGGCTGATGGTGAGGAAGCACCCTGAAGTCGTAAAAAGGGGGAAGCTGCTCGATTTGTCCGATATTTATGGAAATCCCTACCTCAAGTTCCAGGACACGTAAGTGAAGTTATTAATTAATTGAGTTTCGTTCAATTATTAACCATAAAACTAGTCTTCAAATACCGCGCTTTAACCTCATCGTGGTGTGTTTTAAGACTTTTAAGTTTAAAGCTTTTAAGTCCAACCGTTGACGTTAATAGCTATGTCACTATAAACGATAGGGAGCCCTCGTAAACGATATTAAACTACTGAATATCAATTCTTTTTTTCAGACATTCCTATTGGTTCATTCCGGTAATGTCGTTCTTGTTACCAACGATCATTCCTATTTACTTCTGGGGGGAGACCTTCAGCGTCGCGTGGAACGTCAACATGTGCAGATACGTCATGAACCTTAACGCCGCATTCTTGGTGAACAGCGTGGCCCATATGTGGGGATACAAGCCTTACGACAAGAACATTGCCCCTTCACAGAGCCGTACGTTGTCTGTACTGACCCTGGGCGAGGGTTTCCACAACTACCACCACGTCTTCCCTTGGGACTATAGGTCCGATGAGTTAAGCTCATTAAGGGTCAACCCTACTTCTATGTTTATAGAGCTGTGCGCGAAATTGGGGCTGGCGTATGACCTGAAGACCGCTTCAGATGAGTTGATCGAGGGTAGAGCCAAGCGGACCGGTGATGGAAGTTATCTGATCCAGAAAGAGCAAATAAGCAAGCGTTTTTGATCGTAGTTGCTTGGATGGATGGACGAGCTCACAGCCCACATGGTGTTAAGTGGTTACTGGAGCCCATAGACATCTACAACGTAAATGCGCCACCCACCTTGAGATATAAGTTCGAAGGTCTCAAGTATAGTTACAACGGCTGCCCCACCCTTCAAACCGAAATGCATTACGCTTCACGGCAGAAATAGGCAGGGTGGTGGTACCCACCCGTGCGGACTCACAAGAGGTCCTTACACCAGTAAAAAGTACCAGTACCACCAGTACGATAAAAATAAAATATTAAAAAATACAGGATATACAGGAGTGATTGAAGAAAATAAAATATTGTTTACACATTGCATGCATTTACTGGTGGTAGGACGTCTTGTGTGTCCGCGCGGGTAGGTACCACCACCCCGCCTATTTCTGCCGTAAAGCCGTTTCGGCTTGAAGGGTGGAGCAGCCGTTGTAACTATACTGAGACCTTAGAAAAAATCAATTTTTTTATTTTAATTTTTTTCAAATTCCGCCCCTAAGCAGGTAAAATTAGGGATGAAGTATTTTATTTTCTATATAAGATACAGGAAAATTTCTCACATGCGTACTTACGAAAGTTAATAAAGAATTTACACACTTAACGGTGTTTTTCAATAATTCACCCCTAACAGGGCGGGTTTAGGGTTGAAAGTTTCCACGTGAAGCTTGTATCGTTACTTTTAAAGGACGAACCGTGAAATTTAATATTAAAGCTTCTTATAAAAAGTTTAGAAACTTTTCATTACCGTAATGCGCTTTCAGGATAATATCCCGAGCGAGCTTTTGGCTTAAAAACGATAATTCTTATAAATTGCAATGTTAAGGGAACGCGCTTAGAACTTGCAAACTTATAACCAAATCAAGCATCGTGGACTTTTATTCTTAAGCCGCCCTCAAACTCTTAATTTTTTTATTTAAATAAAATTTAATTTAAGTATTTAATGTATCATTGTTTTATTCTGATTTTTTTTTATTGCTTATATGGATGGACTAGCTCACAGCTCACCTGGTGTTAAGTGGTTACTGGAGCTCTTAGACATCTACAGCGTAAAAAACGTAAATAATCTGATCAATGGGCCTTATAAAAATATATAAATAAAGGTTTTACTTAAATAAATATTCCATCTATATGTAAATATGGTAATATAAACAGAATCCATTGGGACTACAATAATATCCACGGTAGCGCGGTCTCCGTCAATGTTTATTCGGAATTGTCCGATTGCGCTGAACTAATTTTAAATCATGTTATAGATGTTTTTTCTAATTGTCTTACAATTTGCGGGAAAAATCTGGCGCGGATCTTTTCCCAACTAAATATAACCTAATCATAATTAAACAAATATAATCATGTTTTTAGTTATGTATATTTTTTTTCTAATAATTATAGACATTAAATATTTTGTTACTTAGTGACAAAGATTATTCTGGATTTCATATTTCTTAAAATTACTCATTGTATTTTTACTTTTCGAATTTCAAGATGTCGCACTGTCGATTGCTTCTCCTGAAGTGACATCTGTCATGTACTTATTGTCAATTTGTCTATTGATGTGGCATCCTCTCTTACGAAATAAATATGTAGAATTTTTTATTGCTTACATGGGTGGACGAGGTTACAGCCCACCTGATGTTAAGTGGTTACCGGAGCCCGTAGACATCTACAACGTAAATGCGCCACCCACTGTGAGATATAAGTTCTAAGGTCTCAGTATAGTTACAACGGCTGCCTCACGCTTCAAACCGAAATGCATTACTGCTTCACGGCAGAAGATTTTTATTACACGATGTTATTCCTTCACCGTGGAAGACAATCCTGAACATTTGTTGAGTACGTATTTCATTAGAAAAATTGGTACCCGCCTGAGATTCGAACATCTGTGTATCGCTCAACACGAATGCACCGGACGTCTTATCCTTTAGGCCACGACGACTTCATTTTATATCTTTAAACGAGCAATTCTTGTATATTAATATATAATAATATATAATCTGAATCTCGGAAACGGCTCCAACGATTTTCATAAAATTTAGTATACGGGGCATTTCGGGGGTGATAAATCGAACTAGCTACGATTTATTTTCAGAAAATGTTGTTTTATTCGTGTTTCCAATAATCAATTTTATCGATAATCAACTTTATGACTCTTCCCGACATCTATTGGCGAATAATAATACTATTTTTACTGCTTTAAAGACACAACAAGATGGCGTTCTAAAACAAAAACCCGAGCAAAGCTCTGTCATCATCTAGTATTAATAATAATCCATAGCGTTATACATAGCATTAAGCCCACTGTTTTTAACACTTTTTTATTAGCTAATTAAAGCTCTTTAAGATCGAATTAAAGCTATTTTTACGGTTAAATCCCGCATTTTTTATTGTCATTTTGTTGCTTCCAAATTTTTCTAATAATTTACAGCTTTCGTGGTCCAACTGAATAATATCGTGAACTTTTAATACACGACGACAGCTCGCTTGATGTTAAGTTGCTACCGAGGCTGATAGACCTTAACAACCCCACCTTGAGACATAAGCTCTAAGGTCTCAGTTTTTACAGTACAACGGCTGTCCCACCCTTCAAACCGAAACGCATTACTGCTTCACGGCAGAAATAGGTGGTACGTACCCAGGCGGACTCACAAGAGGTCCTACCACCAGCGTCAGGTAAGTATTTCATATCAATAGTATAAAAACTAGAGATAGTTTTTTTTTATAATTTAGCTATCCAAGCTTCCAAGCTTGAGAAACACTGATATAATTTTGGTATAGGTGAGGTATTGGTAAGGTATTTGAACGAAGTTTTTAGAGAGCATCAAGCGGTAGGGCGCGGTTTGGAACTTTTTTTTATTGTTTTTTATTGCTTAGCTGAGTGGACAAGCTCACGGCCCACCTGATGTTCAGTGGTTACCAGAGCCCATAGACATCTATAACGTAAATGCGCCACCTACCTTATATATTCTAATATATTCTACACTTATAATTGCTGACGTCCATGCGCGATACGCATTCATCATCGGGTGGGCTGTGTGCTCGTCGCAATGAAACGCGAATGTCATATTTGTTATATTTTACACCAACTAGCTGACCCGGCAGACTTTGTAGTGCCTCAATCGATAAATAAAAGACCTAAAATTTTGTATAAAATAAACTTAAAACAAAGAAATGGAATCCGCTCGACGGGGGACACATCAAAGGAAAAACAAAATTGTTATTTTATATTTAATTCCGAGCATTTTCAAATTTAATTTACCTTTTAAACCTTCTTTGGACTTTCACAAATAATTCAAGACCGAAATTAGCCAAATCGGACTAACGAACAGCATTTCATTTTTGTATAATATATAGATAAATTAACTAATGTAATATGTCAATATCAATTACCAATAAAGTCTACGGTAAAATACTTTTATTTTAAACTTATAATTGTCTCGTCTAAAATTTGCAAGCTAATGATTCAGTTATAAATGTTTACCTTAGAATAGTAATAGATCACTACAATTATTTCTCGCCTCAAGTACATTGGCTGTCAGCTGACACTGACAGAGTGTGATAAATTGTATTTACCGCTTAAGGTGGTAATATTGAATCCGCGCGAATATGTACTTTTAAAAGCTGTTTTTAAACGTATTTCTCACGAACAAAGCTAACTGGTCATAAAGCTGTGGCTACTAAGTACTAACTAAGCAATAAAAATGTAATTAAAAAATAAATAACATAATAGTTTAAAAAAACTATCAAAATACGCTTTTATAGAAAATCCAACTAAAAAATAGAAAATAAATTTGAATTAAAAATAGTGTAAGAAAAAATGATTTTATTGTAAAAAAAGCGTGGGGTGCTTGGTATCAGTAGTTATAAATATTTTATGAACAGATATGAGAAGGGTTATTTTGATAATAATATCCTGAAAAGCACCCTACTCTTTTTTACAATAAAATCATTTTTTCTTACACTATTTTTAATTCAAATTTATTTTATATTTTTTAGTTGGATTTTCTATAAAAGCGTATTTTGTTAGTTCTTTTAAACTTTTTTTTTCATTTTTTAGTTGAATTTAAATGTTTTAATTATTATTATTTTTCAAATTTTTTTTTTGAATAATGTATTGTCAGCAATCCTTAATAAGTATACCAAATTTCGAGTTAATCCGACGTTTTGAAGGAGGTCAAAATCATGTTCAAAGATTCCGTTACAAACATACATACGTCTGAAGCTAATAAAAGCGTATTAAAAAGATAAGGTTATGTTTTGATTGGCTTGATATTTGAAATGAAATACGTGTGGCGTTTATGTAGTATTTTCTACGACACTGCCATATATTTTTGCATACTAATGGCTTATTTACAATAAACCCAATAGTTTTTCGTATACTAGTATTTTTTTGATATTATTGCATATTATTGTATGGTAGTTTAAAGTGTCTGTGAAGCAAAAACTTTGTACCCCTATTTACGAAAATTACGCGGACGGAGGAGTATCAGATTTCCCACACTTACCTATACTAATATATAAATCTACAGTGTTTTTACGGATGTTCCGTTATAACTACTGAACCATGCATCCGATTAACTTGAAACTTAGTATCCATGTAGAAAATACATGTACTTAATGGATAGGCTAATATTTATATGAGTGTTGGACTCCCTACACCAGTTGCGGGGGCGTTAACGATGAGAATCTTTGTGGGGATGAGAAATATTAATGTTAATTTTAAATGCCCAGCGAAACGGACGGGTACAGCTAGTAGAAAGTAGAGTGCAGAATGTTAATATTTTGTTATTTAACAATAAATAAAATATTTCACAGACTACCATGTATTTGACACACACACGCATATATACTCATTAATTTATTGTTTAAAGTCTGTGGTCAAGTTGAAAATAAATTAATGTTGTTAGTCTTCAATATTAAGCTGTAGCTACGGTGCTACGAGCTACATCGTTTCGTAGACCTACGGCGTAGCACTTAGGTTTTCACACTGAATTTCTAAAGAACGTAACAATTGTTAATATTAAGGATACTTTATACATTTAGTTCCTTGTGTTTTGTGATAATGAGAAGTGCTT